AAGGACCGGTGGTGGGAAGGATGGCACATGAAATGTGGCGATGCGGGAATCAATTTAATTGATTGTAATGTATTAAATGCATCAGGCTGCTCTGGGTCTCATTCCAAAAGGACTCTGGGTTGCGTGCCTTGTTAAAAACAGATAAAAAGGAACCTCTATAGAAAAATAATTGACTCAGGAGAATTTGCCTTAGCCCACACAACAAGAGTGTGGCTGAGGATCCCACCTGAGCCCGGGAGAAAAATCAGGTTTTAAGGATTTTGAAGAAATAAAGTGGACTGGGGGCCATATGAATCTGGGGGATGCTGAGGGTGGGGCAGAGCAGAGGGCCCCGCTTCCTGGGTCCCACTGATGGCGTAGCTGGATTGACGGAACCAGGAACTTCCACAGGGGAGCAGCGCTTGGACACCTCCGTGCCAATGGGGATCCGTGGCATTCACAAGGGGGCCCAGATGCGTGAAGCGCTGCAGAGCACGCGCTCAGCTGGGCGCAAAGCCATGCGCAGAGCACCTTGGCAAGCCTGAAGAGCTAAGACAGGGAGGGCTGGGCAGGGGAGCCAAGGTGGTGGGTGCAGGAGGGGGCATCTTTTGGGGTTCCTACCCTACTCAGTGCTGACAAGTCAGGACCAGGAAAGAGACGAAACAATTTGGGGTGGGGGGGCACAGGTGTTCTGCAAAGTTTCCAAAGTTCCTGCAGAGCAGTTTCTCAACCTTGGTAACTGGAAGATGGGTGGACGTGGACTCCCAGAATTCCCCAGCCAGAGAAACACTGCCGTAGAGCATTGGGCTCAATGGGCCCAGGACCTCACGGGTGCAGGAGAAGGGCAGTTTTGGGTGGAAGCGTTTAAGCCAGTGAAATTCATGAGGACTAGAATCATGCTTTGCTTTTTAGAAAGGCCCTTAGCATGGTGGCAGAACAATCTTTGGCCTGTAGGGGGCTCGGCTACACCGCCTTACACATCTCCCACGCCTCCGACGAGGGCCCTGCTGAAGTCCCCTCTCTGGCTGGCAGTGCAGGGCCAAGGGGCCTGAGCACTGGGGCCGCTCACCCCTGGTGTCCCGTGAGCCCCCGAGGGGCCCAGGGATGTGTGCTGCAAGGCAGGCGAGAGGGGAGAGCCTTCTTCCCAGCCAGTGCCACCATCTGGGGTAAAGGGCACTGCCCCACCGAGGGTTCCCCTTTGGAGCCAGCCTTGCTGGTGCTGTCTCCCCCTCTCCCACCTCCGCCCCGGCCCAGGGCTCTTAGCCCAAAGCCTCGTAATTACTGCCTGCAAATGGCCCCTGCTGTTCCCCATTAGATGCCCGTTAGCCCCCTGCGGAGAGCCGACTCATCTGGCTGCCAGCCTTGGGCCCTGGATAAACTTTGTGGAGGTCTGGGGGGGTCCTTCCTGCCAAGGCAGGCAGGCTGCCCCCCTTCAGGAGGGGCATCCCTCCGAAAGGAATCCACAGCCCTTCCAACTTGTGTACTGAGCTGATGGGCCGTCTTGGCACCTTGTTTGTGCGCCCATTAATTCTCGGCCCTTCCCTGATGGCCCATTAGCATCTGGGGCTTCTGGCCTCCCCGGGCCTCGGGAGTATAAAGGAGGCCTCAGCCAGCCCTGGGAAGCTAGTCCTCTTGAGGAACCCCGAGCCAGATATGCTGCTCCTGCCGCTGCCCCTGCCGCTGCTCGCCTGGGCACCCGCTTGCCCCGCCAGGCCCGCCTGGGCCCCCGAAGACACCCGGGACCAGGCCCTGAAGAAGCTGCTGGAGGTCTTTGGCATTGAGGACCCACCTCGGACCCCCCTGTACTTCAAGGAGCCCCCGCAGTACATGGTGGACCTCTACAACACGGTGGCTGGAGCCG